TTAGTCCGAGTTATTTCTGCTGTTTGTACTAAACTAGTTCGTTTTACCTAATGATTTTAAGAGTTTAAGTAGTTAGAATGCAATATTAAAACTATTAAATTCAGAAAATCATTAACATTTTTATACATTTTACTTCTGCTCTTCACAGCTGCCTGTGCAACCGAGGTCTTTAAAATCGCTACAAGGTTTGTTAGAGAAACACATTTTCTTCAAGGTTTTATTCCTTGATGTGAGCATCAATTACAGTCAGATTTGTCTTTTCAGTGCATATATTCCCTTGAATAACTACATGGTTTTTAATGACGTGGATGGACTATACACCTACACCTTTGAAGCTGAGAGAAAGGTTTGTGTTTTTTTTTTTTTTTTTTTTTTTTAACTAACCATAGACTGCGCTCGCAGTTTTCATACAGAGAACAATGACCGGTGTTCCAAATCATCTTTCTTTGACAGGAAAATTGCACAGCATGCAGCCAGGTACCTCAAGATCTCCAGTTCCCTCCTTCTGCCAAATTACAGGAAGTTTTAGAGTACCTGACAGAGACGGCCTCCTTGTGAGTTCTCGGAACAAAAACACGACAATATGAGAAATGTACAAATTTGATCTATGATCACTTTAAGATGGTGTAATTTTTCTGTCCAGACAAATGAAATCACCGGCCATCACCACAACCCTGGAAGGAAAGAACAAGACTTTGTATCTGCAGGTAATTATCTAACATTTAAACTGCTGCACAATCCGTTTACCTTGAGCTAAAACACATTTTCTAATCTTATTGCAGTCTGTTAAGTCCATCGAGGAGCGCACAAGGCCAAACCTCTGCAAAACTTTAAAAGGTACACAAGAGATGTCTTTTTTATTTATTTACTTATTTATTTTTGGCCTTAAAACTGCAGATGCATCATATTTTATTTCCCTCCAATGCAGAGCTGGGCTTGTCAGACGGACAGGAAATAGCTGTTGCCGACGTCACCACTCCACAGACGGTTCTATTCAAGATTAATTTCACCGCTTGAGTCAAAGGCTAACAGACTAAACCGCACTGACGCATCTGAATGCGAACTGGATGTAGGATCGCTCCGTTTCTCTTGCTGTTGCAGTTGCACATTTGACATCAGGATGTAAATACGGCGCAGAAGGTCTCACTTGTGAGACATCATGTCAGTTGTGTTGTCTGAAGATGGAATCAAATGATATTGTTTTTGTAACATGGTTTACTTCTTTATTTGTCCAGTGCAGATTCATATTATATCCAGTTTCTTCTTATTTGAGAGTAATTATGTATGTAAACTCCAACCCAATAAAGTTTATCATTAGAAATGTTATTTTTCACGACTGGACCTCAAGCAGACACCGTCCA